ATCATAATTTATCATATTTTTTATTCATTATTGCTCTTCAATATTTTTATTGTTTCATTAATTATATTTTGTTCCACGAGCTTATTTCATTTATTATTTTATTATTCACAACGGAGAGTATATATTGTATTTGTTTTATTTATTGTTATTGCCAATATCAGACCTTTCCCATGGTCAAATTTCAATAAAATATCACGATATATAATAAATATTTTTTTTTTTTCAAACTACTATGATATGGAGTATGATTTTAAAAAAATTGTTCCATTTTCTAAATAAAGATTTGAAAAATATTATTTTTTTCTTTATGTAATTTATATATTATATGAGGCGTTAAAATATATATTCATTGAAAAATAATTATAGATGGTCATATTTATAATGGAAAAATAGATTTTTTTTCAAACTAAAAATCAGTTTACTCTCCATTGTTATACTCAAAAGATAAAAAAATATTTGAAATAAAAATATTCATAAAATAAATATACTATTCAAAATTATATTTTGTTAATATATATTATTATTTTAATATTAAGAAGCATGGATATATAACAGAACTGATAGAGTATATTTACATATAGAAAGGAAACACAGAATGTTATATAGTAGGGAATCCAATTTTAAAAAGATATGAATGTTGTGGTGAGATAATTTGAAATTTCTTAAATTACTTCCAAGTTGGATTGAGTCAAGGTCAAATTAGGCTATATGGACCTGATTGGCTAGTACATCTATCTAGTGTGTTCACTGAGTGTTTACATTGATATTCTCGAATGTAAAACTGTGGTGTCTGATGTGTGTGAGATGTTGACGTTGTTACTCACGTGGTCCATATGGAGGGAGGTCCGACAGTTCCATCTAGACAGGTCTGTGGTTTTTCAGATCCAGGGGTGTGTAATGAAACAATCCTGTAGATCAGTGTCGGGCAACCTTTTTCGAGTTGCAGCGCACTAAGCTTAATTTCTTTTTTTCGCGGCGCACCTGTGAGAATTTCGTAACAAAAATATTTTTTTCCTTTTTTAACCAACAGATTTTACGGTGTACAAAACTTATTGTGTGAATGTGTGTGTGTTTTACAACATGCAAAAAAATGAAGAATTACTACAGCAATACTTTGACGAAAACTCCGAATAATTTTTTAAAATAAATTTATAATTTTTTTTTGTTTTCTTTTTTTTAAGCTTTGTAGCTTTGAGTCTCTATTAATAAACAGCTGTGACAAAGATTGTAAATGACGGTTAAGTTTGGACATATTATTTTAAAAATTAGGTATTTTCCCGCAGTATGTATTCAACTTTATTAAATAAAGTTGTTTTCGCGGATTGTTTTTTTTTTAACTTATGATTTTAAATAGGTACGTACCTATTTGCATTTTTATTTTTTAATAATGGCACGTGCCAGTTATGTACGTCAAGATTATGTACATACGTTATATGAAATATAAAATTATGCAAACTGTTGTAATTATAATACCAAAATAAGTTTTATATAAAATGAAATTTGCTTTTTTTCAATTTCATTTTTTATATGAAAATTTTTGAAAAAAATTATTAAAATTGAATAAAAATTATAAAAAATATTTTTTGAAACATTATTTTTAAATTTAACCAAAAGTTCTAAATACCTACAAAAATGTTCGCGGCACACCTAGAATTCTTCGCGGCACACCAGCGTGCCACGGCACACCGGTTGCCCGACACTGCTGTAGATCTTCAGTATCGGGAGGTCCTAGGTGTGAGGATCCATTCCTCGTGCATCCTAGATAAGTTATCGGGGATAAAGGTTAGGTATGACATGGTCGTGAAGATTCTCGGCCATCCATTCTTGGGTTGTTCTGGCTGTATGAGATGATGCTGAGTCTTGTTGATAAACATACGGCCTCCCATGTACTACAGTAGTGATCCAAGGCTTGACAACTGTAGCTAACACCTCGGTGTAAGTAACGGCATTGACTCTGGCACCTGGAGTAAAAAATGTGGATGCATCACATCACCTTCACTACTAACAACACCAAGAACCATCAATGATGCTGGAA